CTACCTTCCAGAAAGTGGTCGCTTTTCTGTTCAGAGAGTTGTTGCTATTCCTTTCTTCGATCTCCTGTTGGGTTTGTAGGTGTTCAGAATGGTTTGATCCCTATCCAGCTGAATTCCTGAGACCAGACGAAATCCAGGTCTCCTACTCCTCCGCCATCTTGCTCCGCCCCCCCCCAGATGTTTTGATAGGAGACCATTCTGGCCCAAACTACTCCAATGATGGAAGAAAACCCTCCTCTCTAGCACTGCCTTCCCTCTTTGATCTCTACCTCTTTGCGGTGTAGTCTCCAAAGCAATTCTCCAGAGGTTCTGTGCTTCTCTCTATTTGCCATTAGAGAGAGCTGAGAGTCCTCCTCCTTTGCTGTTCTGCAGGGTTCCTAACTATTCTCTTTGACTAAAGTTATTCGCTGAAAATTAAAGGGGCTAGGAGGATCAAAGGCTGTGTGCTTTCAGAATGATGCTGGCATTTGTGTGGGGGTCCTTTAACAGTTTGGAACAGTGAGGGGGCAAGGGGAGAGGCAACTGCGTGTTTCAGCATTTTCTTGGGGCGGACTTCTCACAACTACAAGGGAACCACCGTGTGGCATTTAATAGCTCAGAGGGCCTGGAGCCTTGGAGCTTCACTAAAGGCAACATCTTGCATTCTGCCGAACGCCACCCTGCAGTATAGCATGAGGAAACCCATACTGACCCCGTAGGCTCCCACCTTCCTCTTTACCCCATTTGTGAAACTCACGGTTAACTCATAGGAAATAGCCAGGTTTAATCTGCCTTGCTCAGCTTCATTATCCGGTCCTAGAAGTGCACAGTTAATGGAAATGATCAGCGGGCTCCTACCTCAACATCAACACAAGCTGCCTAGAGGATCAGTCATGGTGGAAGGGACTCAGTCTGTGCCAGGCACTGTTCTGAGTACTTGGCTGATAGCCGCTCATTCAGTCCTCAGAATAACCTCAGGTGTGCGGTTTTGTTTGTATCTCGGTTTACAGATGAAGACTCTAAAGCCCAGAGTAGGTGAGCAGATTGCCCAAGGCCAGGGTCGGAATTAGAATTGGAACCATGCAGCCTGATTCTAGAATTTATGTTGCTTACTACTGCATCAACATCACAGCAAAGCAATGATCTGGAAGAAATGTGGAGCATTTCTTCTTCAAGGGCTTTTAGCTCAGCTCTTGTATAGTTGAATCACCAGAAAACTGAGGCGCTGGCTTCCCATAATTATGAAGGAAAGAAGAGAACACTTGTCTTTGTAGTCTAATAGACTGTTTTCCATCTAAATTCTGGTTTTACTAGTTATGTATTTTAGGCCTGTTACTAATTTCTCAAGTCCTTTGAAGTGGGGATATGACCATAGCATCTCCTTGATAGGGTGCTGTTGACAGGAACTTTGGTAATGCATTCAGAGTGCTGACCACAATGCGTGTGAGCTGTTATTATTTCAAAGCTATCCTTAATCTTTTGTGGAAATAGAATAGTGGCAGAAAATGAACCAACGGTGTGGGGGAATCTTTTAAAGTGAAATTGTTGAGTAGAAGAGACTCAGACACTGAATTTTCTACAAGGCAAGTCAGTGGTCTGGATTCCACCAATAGATGAGATTTTCTGCAAGTGTCCTTAGCTCCCACACACAGGACCGTCGTGAGGGAAATAGTGTTGTAATGCAGTGTGTCAGGTATTTATTACACTCCAGGGAGGATTCAAGTTGTCCCTAAATCTGAATTACAGCAGGGTCCCAGCGTGTCACATCTGCTCTCCCCTCTCTCGATTCTGCTTCGGAATGCGTAAGCTGTGGGGCTAGGATTTACTAATCTCCTTGAGGTCATTAGAAATGGAAAATCAGAGTAGTCATGGGGAGGGACTTAGGAAAAATCGGGAAGATGGCAATGCTATAAGGATGTGGGGATTCTCCTGGGCAGCCAAGGGTCAACTACACCCACCAAGGTCTGATGCCTGGTGGGGGGCGGGGGGGCGGGAGTTCACACTGGGTTGTGACTTGACCTTCCTCTTGCCAACACCAGAACTTCACCACTTTAAGTGAAATTATCCAGTTTCTACCTTCAGATGGAAAGTTCTCCTTTAGTCTCTCTTTCACCACAGGTGCCGGAATCATGCTAACTCAGCCACTCTCTCTCTCACTCTTAAAGCCGTCCTTAGAAAATGATGGGGGCGGGTATCCCCACTTGAGGAAACTCGATCTTTAATGGAAAGCATCCTATGTGGCACCTTGAGGGTTAAATTTCTGTTGCAGAGAAAGAGTATCAAGTGGCTTTCCAGGGAGATGTAAGCCCCAGTTTAGAAACTGCCATTTCTAAAAGGTAAGCCCAACATACGTTAATTTGCACTGCTTTCTATGAAAGGAATAACTCGCCGCTCTCAGTGGCTGTGTGTTAGTTCGCTTCTCTCTGTCAGTCCGCCTATCCGTCATCTATATAATGTCTATACCAGGGCGAGGACCTTCTATCCCATTCAATAAAAATCCCGGAACACGACAGAGATCCCTTTGACTGTAGATCCATTTTACAACAGCTCTCCGCTTATTATGTCACATAAATCAAAAGGCGAGTGTTTATCTTATCATTTGGAGGCATCCTTTCTCCCTCTGTGTCCTAGCCCCTCCCCTTGTGCCAGTTTCCAGCCCCTCAAAGATGCTTTGTGCAAGAAAGTGCAAGTTGCTCATTCTGGCTTTATTGATTTTTCCCTCTTGCTCTCCTCCTGGCTCCCCCCCTCCCCAAAGCAAGCGAGAACAGAGCAAATGGCCCGGGTGCTCCCGCAGTGCCTGACTTGCGTTCCCTGGGAGGAGAGCCGGCGAGGGAGCGCGCATTCGGAGCAGGCTGCTCTGACTGCGACCACAGGCTGGTTCGTGCAGGCTGTCCTTCTCCCTCAAAACCGTGCATCCCCTCCCCGAAGCAGCCGGCACTGTGCCTCTATTCAGCCACGTTTGGTATGCATGAGCACGGCTGCAGGGAGAGGGGAGGTGGCTTTCTTAAGAAGGTTCCGTGGCTCAGGCAACGCCACTTGACTAATCTCCCAAGTTCCAGGAAGCCTCTGCCGTGATGGAATTTGCAGGTGTGGAGATGACCATGGGATGCCAAGGCAGTGGGGGACCGTTTATTTTCTAGGCATTGCTCAGGTTTGCAGTTTTTGGTTTTCCCGGTGGAATTTGGAAGGGGTCATGAATCAAACTGATGCTCCTCGTCCCCTAAACTGGACCATCCGGAAGCTGTGCCACGCAGCCTTTCTCCCATCTGTCAGACTTCTTAAGGTACTGTAACTTGCTGCTTTGAATGGCTCTGATTGTGCTTTGCAGGTCTAAATACCCAACTTCGCACTTGGGCTGGGACACACCTTTTGGGGAGCACAAACGCTTAGGGTGCTGGCTCTGTTGCCCAAGGCTGGGAGAGGATCTCAGCGGTCCCTCACCACCCCATGGTGTCAGGGAGGAGAGATGGTCTGAGCCACATTTGAGAATGAGATTATGGTGGCCAAGAATGGGCTGCCGAGGGCTCGCTCCCCTCGGCCCCCCGCCCTAAACATCCCTAAAATAGAATTCATTAAATTCTTTGGGAAGGTGGGAACCGTAGTGGGAGTGAAATCTCTTACTCCTGGGTGTTTGGTTCTTCGGGTTTTTTTTTTTTCCCCCCTCCCTGGGGAAGCCCTTCGACCCACTTTCCCTTTAAATGGAACCTGAGAGAACAAAGGATTCTCCTCACTATTTTAAAAGCCCTGTGTCCTTAGGTGGTCACTCAGGTAAAGACAAAGAATGAATCTCATCAGATTGTGACTTCTTTGGTGTCCTTGTTTTTAGAAAGGCATGATAATTTTAGTCTCCTAAGTGAAGCCAGTAGTGGGAAAGTGTTGTTAAATATATATTGAACGTATGCCTTGAGCTCCGGCTCGGAGTTACACAAAAGAATGGTACTACACCTGAGCTTAGAATTGTCACCTTGTGTTTGCAGCACTCCTCTTTTAGAAGCAAATACATTAAAGATACTGAAAAAGTCCCCACAACTCCATAATAATTCACCTTCATCATCTGTCTAGTGGGGAAGAAAATAGACATAAAATTTAAAAGGTGCAGAAAACAAGTATTTTTTCCTAGAGAAGAGAATGTGGTAACACTTTTTTGGGAAAAGTACGTATCTCTGGATGTCCCACATCCATGTGAAGTTAAAAAGGCAAAGCAAAGTTCTTTATTCTCTTTTCCATATTAATATGATACTGTGATTTAATGACCACTGGATATTGAGCCTAATTGACCATAGTGAAGGATTAAAGAATTAGTCCTGAATAAATGACACTTGCAGCATTTTTTTTTTTTTTTCCTGAGGCTCTGGTTTGGTTGGTTTAAGTTTGATGTGGACAATTAGTTGCACAGCTAAGTGGCTCCTCACAAGAGAGCATTACCCAGTATCTGAGTTTTCCTTATCCTGTTCAACTAAAACCCCATGTTAACTTTGACAAAGGCTGCCCCATGTCCGGCTCAAACCCCCATCATATTGTTGTCATGGCGATGGTTTGCTTCCCTAAGAGAGTATTGAGGAGGAAAAGCCAATTTGGGAATAAGGAGTGGGAGAGAAGTGTCCTTGGATAGAAGTGTTTTCGCTGTATAGGAACGTGTGTGATAGGGCATGCGAAAGAATGGGGCCAGGGAACGAAACAAATGAATGTAAATTTTCCTCTAGCATCACTATTGAATCAAGGGTCTGGGGCAAAGGATGTCTTGGCAAATCTAACAAGGACTGAGAAAATTGACTCTAGCAATCCCATGTGCAATGAGAACCATTTTTCACTTAAAGTCATTCATTGCCCCTACCCCCCGAAAAAGCCTTTTTAACTTACATAATGACGTTCTTAACAGGTATGTGCATAGCACTCTCAATATATTATTCATTAATGCTCTAGTTTTTTTTTTTTTAATGGAAAATGTTATTCATCATTTCCTAGTCACAGAACCAGCAGAGAAGTATCTATTTGAAGTAGATTACTTATTCTGAGAACAGCTGTTGTCTTTTTTAATGGAAACTACTGTCAATACTGCACCAATACTGTGATTGGTATTCAGTTGACGCCCACCATGCTTTTTGAACATGGTGCTTTATAACAAGTCATCTAATAAAGTATACTGATGAGGGTCCTTCCAATTCTCTCAATAATTGAAAGACAGGATGTGTCTTACTAGAGAAGTTCCTTTGTAAATGACATCTGTATTTTTGAAAGAGCATACCTGTCCTAGGAAACTTCAGATAGTGAACATATTTCAAACTCTTAAAAAAAAAAAGTGATACCAGATTCTTTCAGCAAGACTTAGAAAGAAAGGAAAGCTACTTTTGTGTATCAGTTTTACATCAGCAACATTCTGGATATGAATGTCGTGTAGTTTTTTCCCTCTTTGGATTACTGCTGTCTTATCTACTTTGCTAATCCCTACGTATTCTTGCCCTGCTTTTATATTTCAAGTAAATTGGAAGTTCCTGAGTAATCATTTGCATCTTTTGGTCTGTGTTCTTCCTGGCTTAGTTTATAAATTAAATACTTAATAACTGTGATTCTTACTGTTCTTTCCTATTTCCCTCCCTCCCTTCCCAGTCTCCTATTCTCCCTCTCCCACACTGTCACCACCATGGTAATTTAGTGGATGGCTTCTCTGGGCATCCCTGAGTCTATTGAAATCATAAGCTAACAGACCCAATTCTCCCACTCAACAGGTAATTTTTGGTCCCGTTCCAAGCATCTTTCTGATATGTTTTTTTTTCCAGTGCTCTGTCTTGTCAGTAATGCAGTAGAGGGTGTGATGGTATGGTCAGATTTAGCTAACCCCAGATCACTCACCATTTCTCACAGACTGGGCTCAAGCCAATTTCCCTTGCTGCCCTCTCCTTGAGAATGTATGTTTCTTGGCTACCTTATTTCAGCACCATGTTAATATTTAGAAATGGCTTTATAATCCTGTTTTCTCTATTTCCTAATAGAAACAGGATACTAAGGAATTAGAAGCGGAAGGCTGGCATCTGAAGCATGAATTAAACTCAATGAACGAATGTTGGAATATACTTATTATTCATTCTGAAAACATCTCATTTGTTGCTTTGTCCATCTCAGAGCAAATTTTGAACATGCCAACCAACTCCCATTTTGAATTTGAGATTGCATTTGGAAATAACACTCGAAAATGAATTTTTGGACAGGCTCATGATAATGATAGCCAAAAGACAGAGGCTGTTTTCAAACGGATACATTTCAAATGGGACCCTATCCAAACTATTTCTCTTCAGTTGTCCTTTGCTTCATTCTTAAGTGTTTTAAGATTTCATCTTGCTAATCACAAGAAGTCAAGTTTATTTCAGTGACAGAATGTTCTTAGCATATTTCATATTCATTATTAGGTCTGCCCTCTGCCATTGTTTTATTTGGGAAATTTTTATTTTGGTAACTTAGGATGAATTTGAAGGTTAATTTTAGGGCGGAGAGCTTTGTTTGTATTGAAGTCTCGGTGGACTTACTGAAGAGAAGGCTTCTGAAAATGGGTTGCACTAAGGGAAGGGGAAGCTCTGTACTTTGAACAGATTTTAGATACAAACATTTAAGCCAGTTTGTCTGTCAAGACCAAGACCTATCATTTTAGGATTTTCCAAGTTGTGTACTGAGAAGGAGTCTGATTTTGTACTTGGAGCAATGTCAAAATAGATTAAAGAAATTATATTCTGGAGAGTTAGATCTAAACACTGGATCCTAATTCTGTTGTGTTCCTAACCACCTGTGTGACCTTGGGTAAATTACTTAACCTCTCTAACTTGGTGTCCTCTTTAAAATGAAGAGGTTAGGTCTTGACTTGTATCCAGTGCTAAGATTCCATGTGGTAAAGGCTACCATCCTCTGTGGGTATGAAAGAACATAATCTCTTGAGGCTAAAAATAGTTCAACTGGATTGGATATTCAAATAGAAGAGGACTAGAACATTCAGCAGCATTTAAAATCATATAGGGCCTTAGCCGCTAAGCTAAGACGTTTGACAATTATCCTGAAAACTATGGAGTACGATCAAAGGGATGTTAGCAGGGAGGTGACTTCCAGATTCAGGTATTAAATAGTTTGCTCTGGCTGTACTCTCTAGAATGGGTAGAAGATGGTAGGATCGAAAGCTTAGAGGTGAAATTGGAGGCCCAGAGAATTGATGAAGATGTGGGCTAAGGCAGGAGGAAGGGAGGTAAAATAAACAGAGCTTTGTTAACTTGATTAATTGTGCTGAAGGGAAGAATTTAGGCTAAGTTCTGAGTTTTGATCTTTGTAGCTAGTTGGTTAGACGTCCCCCTGTGTGAGAATAAAGAAAAGTCTTGAGAAGGAAGGATAGAACTTCTCATTTTGTGGTTTCTCTTTCTTGAGTTGGAAAGGGTATGTCAGTTATTCCAGGGGGATTGAGGAAAAAATGAAGTAATTCCATGTCATTGGTGAGTATGAGCCCCAGTGAATACTTGATCACAGGACTCTTTGAAGTAAATAATATGCAATCAGGAATATCTCTTCTAATTTTTTTAGATTGTATGCATAGTAAACTCCCAATTTTTTGGAATCTAGTTAAAAAGCTCACTTTTCTCCTCTCTTTCCTATTATTATCCAAAGGATTAATGAAAGTGAACTGGGTAACAAAAGGGGAATTATTGAGAGTAGTGATCAAGGTAGGCTACAAGATGAGCATAAATTCTGCTCAATTACTAAGGTTTTCTATTTCTATAATTCCTTGTAATGGTAACCAGTGTCCATTATACTGTCCCTGAAGCATAGTGAGATCCTCATGACAAGATGAATTGAGTCTGTCTGCTTCTACAGTTGATGCCAGGCATTCCGGAAACTGACTTCCCTTTGATGGTCTCGAACTTGTAGGAAACAGTTAGGTTGAGATTCATTTCAATGTATGTTTTAAATTTAAGACTTCCAAAATCTCCTTTTCACATCTGAAATCCTAAATTTTTATGTGGCACATAGAGGAATGTCAATAAACCAAAGTTTTTTGCTTTGCCAGCACGAGGCCCTCCTGAGCCACCTGCTAGTGAGTAGCAGGTAAGTTTCCACCACGGGAGAGAAAACACACATGTGTTCTATCTAGATGTGTCGGTGAACCTTGGCGAGCAAGGTCAGGGAATATCTTAGGGGCCAATTCTAAGTGCCTTAAAGATGAGACCCTTGAAGAATCAATTGCTTGTAGGCCAACATAGTGTATTATCAGGAAAAATGTTAAGGGCTTCTAATAAAGGAAACGCGTCTTTT